GTTGAATATGAATCTTTTATACGAAAAACGAATCGTTAAGTGCCACGTAATAACCAAAATAAATTATAAACTTCATAGGAAGAGGAAACGACTAAAATGACCATCCATGATCCTTCATCTCGGACAAAAATATTTACATATTAAAGTCTCNTAAGTTCATCTTNCAAAAAATTCAATGTTAACTATAGACTCAATCGTAAAAAAATATTAAAAGCATATGCAGACGTAACGTAACCCCATATTTAATGTGGATGTGCCAAATATGAATTATCATTTACTTCAAAGGTCCAAGTGAAATACTCAGAATGTTATAATATGTTTGATGGTAACGCCTTATCCGTCAAAGCGAGCAACGTGACATAAAATATTTTTCAATCGAATCATGAATGTTCTAATACAATTTCACATAGCGCGTTTAAATGGTAAAACAAATCAGCTCAACTATAACTCGGTCCAATAATTCATATAATTTATTTTAGAAATAATAATTTATTTTAGAAAGTGAATGCGATCTAAAATATTTACGTTAGTCTTGTGCATATATCTTTCCCGAAATTTAGTCAAATTCTCTTAAAATATTTTTACTAACATTTTTTTCGTTATCTTCCCATACACATTTGTGTCTCCTTACATTTTTTTTCCGCCTCTCTATATTATTAGCACTAAGAAAATGTTTCATAATCTTGTATTTACTATTTTTATCCATTTATTTACTTAAATTTTGTTTTTAATTTAATTTTAAACTCTAATAATTATAAATAATAAAAATAAAATAAACATGAATTAAATGAATATTTACTATGAAAATTAATTTAATAATTTTTGTTTTGATGATGTGGACACCTAAATGGAAAGAGAACTCTCTAATTATATATTTGATTTCAAGCATTTTTGCTATTTTTAGAGGTAAATTGGCCGAGTCAAAAATAAAATAAAGGAATAATCTTCGTCATTTATATGACCATATACGTTAACTACACATCTTAACTCTTAACTAAGAACATTTGCAACCAATTTTTTACTCAAAAATAAAATAACTCTAAAATGGAGTTTTATTTTATTCTAACCATACTTCATTTTGGAATGAAAAATAAAGTAATAAGGGCATCTCCAACCTCACTTCATATCCTACACCAAACTCTATTTTAGAGTAAAATCTCCTCCAATCCCACTATATTTTCAATTCCAAAATGGAGTAATTTCATTTTTTCTTCCAAATATGGAGTAATCTCATTTTTCACTCTATTTTAGAGTTGTACCTTTTAATTTATAAAATAGTCCTTCAAGTTTTCAACAAATCTATTATTTTTCATTTTTTTAATTATTACAATAAAACATATTTAGAGTGAACAATCTTAACATAACATCAAATTATATTAAATATCGTTTTTACCTATATAAAATAAAATGATATGATATATATTTAATAAAAAAACATAAACCAATAATAAAAATAAAAATACATAAATTATAAAATTTATGTATTTTTCTTTCATTTATAAATGTTAAGTTTGAATAATATTAATTTATGGACGTTTTAGATAAGAAAAATAAAATGGGGT